TTTTATTGCACTATAAAAATAACCACTTATTAAACGGAAAAAAAAGGATAAAGGAAAAAAAATGCAATTTGAACAATCTGATGCTTATACAGTGAGTCATAAAGTCCTGCAGGCACTTCCATCTATGAAAAAACAGCTGGGAAATGAAAAATATCTAGTATAAAATGGGCAAAAAGCAGGGAGCCCAAAGTGTCAATACTCCACATCCTAAGTTTGAGAGAATTTTTCTTTGAAGTCAGATTAGCAAAATTGGCAAGTGACATGAATTAATGGGGGACCATTAATCTGGTCCCCCAGCTCAATTATTCCAGGCCAGAGAACTGTAAGAAAATTCAGACAGACCATTAACAACCTCAATTGTTTAATTTGCTGTCAATCATGGCAGCCATTTAATTATCCGTTAATGGAGAAGAATTATATATAGTGGTGTAAAAAATAATAATGACTCTAAGGTCAGAGTTCAGAAGCATGTCTATTTGGGAGGAAAAAACCCAACAACTTGCAATAGTGAGACTAGCTCAAGTACAGCTTCAGCATAATATGTATTTGTAGAAAAAAAAAAAGTCAGTCACTCTTACCTTTCTTCTTCTGTTGTAAGAAAAGATGTTATAATGTTTGACATAACATGGTGAACATAAAGCATATATCTTAATGCCTTTATTCTGTCAGACCACCTCCTGCATACAAGATAAAATGGGCTGAGAGGAGCTTGCAGAAGAATTATCAAGGGCAAAGAAAGATTTTAATCTTGCAAGAAATTGAAAATACTGCCATTTCTAGTGGTGAGACAAGTAGAAGATGTAATAAAGGAGTGCATCATAGTAAGTGGAGAAAACAGGTCAAGAGCAAATCATTCAGGACACAGAAATCAAGGATATTCAGACTTCTTCTAACAAATGGCAAATATATCATAGCTGAGAAGTAAACATCTTCCTTAAAGCATTGAATCATTATACCTTTAGGTATGTGGGACACATTGCTTTTGTCTGGTTTTGGTTTCCTACCCATCACTCTAGAGCTGCTGCTCTTGGTTCAGTCTGGCATGGAAGGCCTCTTGGCTTGAGTGCTGCATAGATTTGTTCAACCATTTAAAAAATATATGGAACCTACCTACTTACAAATACCCAAGTCTATAGTAGTCAGCACATCAAACACTGAGTAGTAGAAAGAAAACATGCTAAATCACTAAAGTAACAGCATTTAGAAAAACACAAAACTCCTTACCTTCTATTAGCTGTAACTCCCAGAGACAGTAGTTGTGAGGAGGGAATAATAACCAGCTGCAGTAACCCAACAAACTTCAATTTGCTGTGTGTTCTTTGTTACCAGAGAAGTAAACTATTGAGATGAAATGTTTCCAAGGCATGGATTTTTCCCAAGTACCAACTTTTCTAATATGTTTTTTCACAGAATAGAAAAAGTGAGAAGGGAAACAAAGACTCAGAAAGCCTGACCCAGCACCTCCGACGTGCCTTTGAGGATTTGCCTGCATCTCAGAGGCATCCTGGATGTGAAAAAGAAATGCAAGCCGCCAAAAAAATTTTACGTGTACAAGAGGGTTGCAATCTGTCAGTGTGATATTAAAACTGGTTGGGTTTTTTTTTCAGATACTCAAGATACAGTCAGACAGATAGTTCCTCACCAAAATGAGGAAGGTACAGACAAGGCATCTCTCTTGGTCTGAACTGTATCTTTTTGCTTCTTGTAAAACTATCCTTCTCTCAGAGGGGTATTAGATTCTACGTAGCTTCTCACAACTGTATTTTCTTGTTCCTGCAACTCCAGTATTCAGAGTTCTTCCCTGAACCACAAGGAAAAGAAATAGCAGAAGGTCAGACAAAAATGTCCAGCCTTCTCAGACAGCTATAATGGTAATCTGGCATGTCTGGTTTCCTATCTGGAATTGTTGGTCAGATATTCCTCAGCAACCACAAAAATCCACGTGTTCCTTTGTCTCAAAGACTATGATGGTGAAATAAGCTGGCTCTTTCATTGCTGTAATTGAGACATCCCTTCTTTAAAATACATGAGGTGAGAATTAGGTCATACGTCAGGGTTGTCATGAACAGCTGAGACATACACTTCAGATCCAAGTACGAAAATGAAATCTCTGACAGAATTCCCTTGCTTCTTGTATACATATAATAACAGGCTCCTTCAAGACCTATGTTGATCCTTTCAAGCTGCACAGCTATATCCATACTTTCCAAAATGCTGAAAGCCAGCATTTCCTTGAAAACAAGACTATGGAATGGCTTAATAATAACAGCTCTAAAGAGCATTATCTGAAAAACAGCTGATGATTTGTCGAGGCTCTTAGTTTGTTACTGCCAATGCCGGGCCACGCTATCAGATGGAATATTTTGGCAAAGATCTATCTCATTACTCTGAAATGCATTTTCCGTTTCATAATGCTATTTAAGATTAGCATATGGAACTCTAGAAATAAACCAGAATGTTGATTATGCACATGTTAGCCTAGTCACGTTTAGTAAGACACTGTAAGTTCCTGAAAGAAGACTACATGACTAAAATTCCAATTTGCAGTTTTCAGATGGGGAAAACATGATACATTTTAGAAACAGAAATGTTGTATTCTCCAGTATGCCATGTTCTAGTTTGCAGAGTTTAGAAGATGTACTGAAAATTTAGCAGTGAAGTGAATTAAAACACTACTCAATTTATGGTCCTTTTTAACTGGTATATTTGGCTAGTGCCAAATCCAGCATACAGTATCATACTATAATTTTGTTAGGCTAGAAAGCATAACTGAATAGGTCACTACACCATATGACAGTAGATACTTAAAATATAGAGTGATACACCGAACATATATCAAACTATGTATCTTAATACCAGAAGAGCTTACTGAGTTATGCCACCTTTGCACAGAACAGACATCTACAGACCATTTGAAACTTTCAGGAAAATGAAATAAGAAGGAGACACAGGCATACTTGTTCACCTAATGTCAGCAAAGGTTTTGCGTATGGAAGCCAAAATTCCTTTTTGGTTTTGGCTGGTAGGAGCACATAAGTTGATAAACTGACTGCCTTCTAAAACATTTTTGTGTGTTTGGCATTGAATATGTGCCTGTTTGGTGAATAGTATAATAAACACAAAGAATTACTATGTTAAGGCATTTTGTGAGATCTGTGCAATTCAAAGTATTGTCCTGATGGCTTGAAAGCAATTTGCTAATGTGGTCTAGGGACTGCCAATGGTTGCGAGATTGGTATTCCACAAACTTGGTAAAATTTGGCTTATTATTTTTTCTTATAGACTGTAGGCATAGAATTAATTTAATCTAAAAATCTCAAAACAGAGTAAACAGGTCAAACTGAGCTCACATGCTCTCAATCTCCTCACTTTTCAATGACCATACATCTGCATAATCTAGTGTAGCAGCATGGAGCTGTTATCACACCTTGCTTAGCAACACACATTTTCCTACAGCATAAGGTAAGCCCTGCATCAGTACAAGAGTTGCTGTGGCTAAGCAGTTTTAAAACTATGTACTGAAATCCACATTGAATCTGATCTGCACCTGTATATGGATTTCTTTGACCAAGCTGCAATTATTTAACTCATTGAGAAGATGCCTATAATCAATCTGATGTCCCAGGAAGGTGGAGATGAAAAGAGCAGTCCTCACCAATGTCAAGTATCATCATTCTCCAACCAATTGTTTTCCTAGACTTTCATGGGACCAATGGACCTTGCTGTTCACATGTTGGATTGGCCCATTCAGTGTGATGCCAGTTTTCACAGGTAAGCAAAGCATAACAAGCTATTCTGAGGTTGAGGAGCATTATGGATGTAGTCTACAGGTGATCAGGAGCTTTCAGTTAAGACTGGCTAACGGTTCTGTACACTGAGCATCACCAGTGAAGAAGCTTTTGTTTGGTCAGACGTGACAGTTCCTAGAAGGATTGTTTATATCATGACAAACTTCACAGTAACTTGACATTCAGAGGCATGCCTAACACGCAAATTACGTACTATTTACATTAATATAATGGGAAGACCCTATCCAGGGCAGCGGTAAGATCTAAAAATTATACACACATTAGCAAATTCATTCAGTTATGTCTCTGTTTTAATGATTTTTTTAAACATTTGTATCATCAGACAAAACATTTAGGTCATGAGAAAATACTTATTTCCAACAGCATGGACTTTGCAAGTTAGTTGGAAGAAGGCATGTTCAATGCGATGATTTTTCTATCACTGGGTCAGTTGAAATAGTGTGTTGTAGTGCATATATTAACCAGTTACTTTAAGGAAATGCAAAAAGACATAGTGAAGTAGGAAGTGAGTACAAACATTCAAGGCAGTAAAAATGCAGAATACTGACACATGGCTGAAAAATGTACTTTTTGTAATGCTCTTTTAGTATCACACTAAACCTGCAACTCACTTTAAAACATTCTTTGTCAGCAACCATACTTCTGACCATATGAAATTATTAAATTTAACACAATCTTTCAGCTGGAAGAGATATTAAGGTCTAATGCTCATATCAAACACTTAGATCTTGTTAGGTTTGCTTGTTATTTAAGATAGTTTCAAGGTACTGCACCAGTATCACATAAGTTGTTGTTTTTTAAAAAAATTGGTTTGTACAGAAACATGCAAATAGTAATGCATGAGGGTTTTATATATTTGATTATAGTTGGATGTATTATTGATAGAGCACACAAAGCTTTTTTTGTTACATTTTATGCCGAACTGTTAGTTTCCACACCTACCAATTGCCATCACAGTTCTCATGGCTTGTCGTGTAAAGCCGGAAAGTGGGTAAAGTAAGAATGCCTTCACTTAGGACATGTATTAATGAAAAGAATTGTTCTATAGATAGATGTACCTACTTATGTATAATCAAGATGACATGTTGTTTTATCAGCATGAAATGTAAAAAAAAAAGTTCTCCAAACACCCCAAACTAGTAGGAAAACACAGTCAACTGGCACAATACACTTTTAAACCAGTTTTGTATAAGGCTTCAGTTTTCCTGATGAATGGGACTAAATTTTTAAGTAGCTCTGTATACATTTTAGTCATTATAACTGTTTTATGTCACAATATATTCTTAATAAAATAAAACCTCTCGTGTTGTAGTTAAAGATAGTTAGTTACCTTCTAGACAAATACGGCCTTTTAGAGAGTAGGCTGTGTTTAAATATAAGAAGTAGAATTAAGGTGCTTCCATATTTTTGCTTTCATTCTTAAAAAGTACCCCATATAAACAATTGCAATAATTGCTTGCGGACATGCTTTTCTTTGGCTTTTACCATATTTTTAATAGCACGTGATCCCCTCTTGGGGAATTTTATATTAATTGCTTACTTGATTTTGTAAAGATTGTGTTGTAAAACTGAATGGAACAAAATGTTAGATGCGTTTTCTTTGTCACAGCTACACATTTTTCCCTTCCTTTCAGAAATTCCATTTGCATCAAGCAATAACTGCAAGCAACAATAAATTTAAAGCTAGATTTTTTGCACGCTGTAAACTGTGTAGGACCAGGAGTTACTGACAATACCAGCTGGTCATGCAAGATTAGCGAGTTCCCTGTATTCCAATGCATTGCCATCTAATCTGTCCTGTTTCCCCCGACACATACTAACACAATGAAGCTGGACAATGGTTCAACAGCAAGTGCATGTGATAGTTCTGGCAAGACTATTTTCGTTTTGATTAAGCACATATTTTATCCGGGAGGGGCTAGAAAAGCAGGGCCTTTTTCTTCAGGTCATTCCGCTTCCAAAGTGCCAGACGATCAAATTCCTCAATGCTCATTTTGAAGACTTCCTGGAACTCTTCAGGGGACAAATGCCTCTTGAAAATGAAAACACAAAAGGTATCATTTAGTTTCTCTGTGCACAGCAATATTTCTGCCCTTCCTAAGTTTTAAAGCACACCACAAAATAATGCATTAGGATTTGCATTTAAATTCCTGAATTGGTTCTGGAAAAGACTGCATCAAAACCAAATGTAGCTGGGAAATGAAATTATTGATGACAGGAGTGAATTTTTGAAAAAAATTATCTTTGCAATATAGTTCCAACTGAGCAGAAGTGACGAGTTTTGGGAAAGAGATGTGTTTCTACACAGTGCTTGATGACAGAGCATGCTGAGACAAATTTAAGCTATTCCAGGACTTTAAAGAGACTGATAACAATGTAATTTCAGAGTTGGATTTGTTTTGCCTTGTTCTTTAATGAGAGCAGTGGACATCACACTGGTACGCTAATAGTGGCCTTGTAACAAAGGAGAGAGCACACTGCTAAATTCTTAAATGGGAAATGTGCTTATCCATGGAGATAGACTCATATCAGGAGACCAAGTGGGATAAAGTTGTCGTTCTTTTAAATGCCAAAATCTATGCTTCTATTTGATGTTTTCATGATTCAATATTTAAAAAAAAAAAAAATAAATAGAGAGATAAAGGGGAGAATACCAACATAAAGAATTGGAAGGAAGTAGGATAACAGTTGCCTAACAATTCTTAGTGTACACAGAAAATGCAGAAAAGAGAATTGTGTGAATTAGAAATGAATATAATAATTCTTCTGATAATTGTGGACTAATGCCTGCTCAAGCATTTCATTAGCATCAGTTATGGTTCTCTGTTTCTGATGCATTAAGCACTGCTGTCTAAAAGGGACAGATTCAGTGCAATAAGAATTAAAAATAGCAATTTTTGAACATGGATTCTCCTTTCCACAAAGATTTCCTTGAAACCTGGGACCAGACTTGCCATCTAACCCTTTCCTCCCCAACTAAGCATTTCAGTTGAAGTTCCCCAGACACAGCTCCAGTCTAAGCACCTTGGCACCTGCGAAAGCACCACCTGTATCCAAAAATTAGGTCTCCCAAAGTTGTTAAGTGCAAGAACTGCTTGGACGTGCCTCACACAACAGAATCAGGCTCATCACACATCAGACAACTGTTTTATTTCAAGGGAAGGAATTTGGCCGTTCCTTTCACCTCACTGCCTCATGATTGCAGGACTTCTCAGGAGGTGAGAAACAAGGTTTCAACATCTTCATCACTCAGATGAGGCTCAAAACCATCGTGTAGTCCATGTTACTCACTCTCCAGATGCATGCTGGCAATCCAACCAGGACGGTAACTTCAAAGGAGATACAGTCCTCATGAACATGAACAATGCTATCAGCAAGTCATGAGTGCAATATGCTGAAGGTATGGGGGAGCACAGCACGCCCCAGGGGAAAGGGGGCCACTGGGTCCTTTAGACCTTATTTTTACTGGTAACTCAAACAGGCCTAGGTTGTCTTATCATTTGATCAGGTCACATTATTGTCTGGAGGAGCACTTGCCGCTATTAGGAAAAACTGTGTCAGGGAGCATACTGACATACATACATGCCCTGGGAATCCAACAATGGTTTACCTCACCCGGCTGGACACAGGTTCATTTGCTGTACCTTAGAAAGCTATTTTTTTAATGAATTTGAAGGCAAAATTTTACTTTCCACTTAATAACAATGAGTTTATCTTTGCAATGTAAATTATTCGAGGAAAACTAATGAAATAATTTATAAGAAATCACTACATTTAATTACCTTGAATGGTTGTCATGGGCTTTTGTGGTTTCCTAAAAAAGGACAGCCTTGGCTTTTTTTGCTTGGGATTCCATATATTCAGAACAACAGAAACTAAGAGTTTGGAACCGAGCCTTCATTTTTCATTTGACCAATGACAGCAACCCACCATAAGCACTATGCATAGCATGGAACAAACACGGCATGCATATTTGGCAAAGGAGACCCTGTTTCACATGAAAATGAGCAACATCTGACAATGTGTTTTAGAAACAGTCTCACTAACAGAATTTAATTCTACTGGGTTTGGAAAGAAAAAGTAACTTCTCTTTGCATCATTTTTTTTTTTTTTTTTTAATATTTTCCTGGTAAAATACTAGACAAATATCAACAGGCTTAACGTCAGCAATTTCTCACAGCAAGGAACATGTCTGTAAATTGTGGGGTTAAAAAAGAAGTCTGGATGAGCAAAGTGTATCATATTTTGTTTTACCTTACTTTCTAGATTGTGGAGAAGGCTTGAGATGGCCCCTGACTCAGGTGAAAGCAGTGAGAAACTGCAGTTCATACTCAAAAAGAAAATCAGAAAGCCTATACCCTGCAGGTAAATCCACTTTTCCAATCATCCAAAACCATAGGAAATGTAAAACTTTAAAAGGAATGTGCAGGAGCTGAACTCCTCCTAAGGGGTTAATGCCTCAAGCCTTGTATGGTGAAGAAACACTGTGACACATGCTCGCTCAAGCAAGCAGAGGATTCACTGGAGGACAGATAGCTCTGTTCCCCAGCACAAGCCAGTGTCTGTTGCTTCCAAATGAAAGAAGTTGGCCACATGTCTCACT